TGCTATTGATATCGATAGATATAAGCAGTATGTATCATCGATCAAAAAAGAAATGCCTGATAACAGAAGGTTAAGAAGATCGAAAAAAGAGGACGAGAACAGAAAGTGGTTGATGAGGAAAAGAAGGGACAATCAAGTCTGAGACGATTGATTGACATTTGGCAAATGAATTATTTAATGTATAGTTCACAGATTTTACTAAAATATTCTGTAATTTTGCATTCAAAATACATTTGGTTGTCCCTTCTCGTGTTCTAGTTCACTACAAAAGTATAACTTTTCAAGATATTTTTTGAAGTTTATAAAAAATGATTAACACACGAAGTCAACTAAAAATAGGTCAAATTAAGTAATCTAAATAGACAGTAAAGGAGTGTAATAAACTACAGTTTAGAAATGTTGATTAATAAAGAAATAAATATAGTACAGTCATCAAAATAATATACATTTAACTGAATAAGCATTGATTATGACTTAATGTGTCTTTAACTCAATTAAATGAATATAACAGAACAAAGAATTAAACAGATCATACTCTCAAAAGATCAATCGCTTAATATGAATGACATACATTTACAAATATGTACATTTATAAACATAATAATTTAGACATATTTTACATTAAAGGATCATACAATAGAAGTGAAATTTAAAATCTTAATGTGATAAGACAATTGTTTAATGCAACTTCATTTCTGACCTTGTTTGTTGTCATCAGTTTCAGATTTGATTATTTTCTGTGGAAGTTCAGACTATTTTGGTTAGATTCTAAGGGAAATATAGTAGTTCATTTTGAGTTCATACAATTTTCTGATAAATACAGAATAACAGAAATACTTGAGTTTAATCAATCGACCACTATAAATATTCTATAATCTCGTAATAAACTAAAGAACATTTCCATCAAAAACCCCCATTATTTAGTGAAGTATTGTAAACCAGATACCATTAGGCACTTGTAACTTTCTTACTTAAAACTTTTCAACAATATCTATTCAGGATTTATAAATCATCTAGATTAAATTAAATATTAAACATTTCATTGGTTAACCGTTAGAAATTATAACTAGTCGAAACGGCCGTCCAGTGTTTCCAAATTTCCCATGGTTGTCTAGCTTCAACTGACTCATGAACTCAAATATTCAATTACTATAATATACCAAAAACACCGTTCTGACAATAGTTATCATGTGCTCACTAGTGACTGACTTCAAGAGGTATTTCCTGGAGTTCTATTGCAAAGCCGTGATCAGTGAAGTTCAACTGGATCTCTTGTGAGGTAGTAACTCACTGAAGACAATGGTGGACGGTGGTGCGATTCCGTCTATTAGTTGAAGTTAGACATTAACACCGTTGGATGCCGGCCAACTCAGTGATCTAAATGTTAAGCGTTCGAGTACGAGACCGATAGGTTGTGGTTTCGAACTCCGCGAGGCGGTATCGTGAACACTAACTGCCAAGGAGTCCCATACTAGCATGAAACGGTAGTCCAGTGCTTCCAGGTTTTCCATGGTAATCTAGCTTCAAATTGACCTATGGTCTCAAATATTGAAATTACCATAATACCCACAAAACCCCTTTCTGATACAATTATTAGTTTCTTTTCTTTCAACACTGTTGATCTGTTTCTCTTTCTTTTATAGTTGTGAAAAACACAACAAATTGATAGTCAGCTGTCATTGTAGTAAATTAATGTATAAAAACTTAATATAACAGTACTGTTATGTAGATTTCCATTATTTTGTCTAATTCGATTAACAGAAATAAGTATTAATCTCATAAACCTTTTATTTAATAATGGCAAATTTGTAAACAAGCGGCATATTAACTTATAATACGTAAATTACACTAATGAGTGTAATATTCAGAAATGGAAAGAACAGTAATATATAAAAGTATACCTTTGTATTCTTAAATAAATGTTTCATCGCACTAAATATTACCGTTAGTTATGACAATTACAATAAAATAATGAATTAACTACTGTTCATTTGCATGTATTGTTGTTATTAGCTTTTGCTATTCGCTTTAATTACAATCATTAATGTCATTAGTATTATAATTAGGGTTATTGTCAAAGTTAAATAAGTCCATTTAATATGGAATTATAAATGAACAGTTTTTTTGTGGTAAATAAGTGTGTATACATATATTTTTTTACATACACAAGTATATATGTATGGCTTTTTAATACTGTATAAGTTAGTTCAGAATTTTGCTAAAGCTTGCAGCTAGAAGTCATATATTAAGTATATGATGATTGTCCAGATGGATCATACTGTTACTATAACTACTAATAATACTAGTAATATTAATCAATATTCCTTAAAATATGATACTGGATATTGTAAAGCTCAATTAAATCTCAAGTGGAAAATGAAATGTTCTTTCTTTCTTTTTGAGTTTTTCCATCCTGAAATATTCGAGACTATATGATAGTTAGTTAATGTAGTTTGTTTGCTATGATTTTCTTGAATTCAAAGGACGTTTCTCATTTTGAACTAATATCTGCCAGAAAACCACTGTAAGAAGATCGACTAGTGTCAAAAATTGAAAAAAAAAATTAGAAAACGCGAATAGCTAGAATTTAATATGTTTGGTTTATACGTTTTTGTGTTTGCCATGAGAAGTGAATGTTTCTGATTCATTTCCTTGTAGTGCCCTTTGATATGATCTCTGAAGCACAGACAAAGCAGTTGTTGACCCCCTTATTTTTGAACAGTTCTTCAGCCAGTGTCATTTCTTGGTGAAACTTACTTTTTAAGTTAATTATCTTCTATCTTGAGTTATAGTTCCTTAAAACCTTAATTACATATCTAGAGGATGAAAATAAAAAGTGCACTCATGAATCGTGTAAGTAGTCTGAAGAAGTAACATATTTACTCAAAGTAGAAAAGCTAGAAGTATAAAGAATATGATGCTTAAAATACGACACTGAAGGATTGATTTTGAAGCTCTCAGGCAGAATATAACTTTTAACATTTTAATAGTTGCCCTTTTTATTATAACAAGATTGAAATTCATTATCGGAAAGTATATTGATTGATCACAATTGGTTCCCTTTATTAATCTAAATAAAGCCAGAACAAGCATTGATGCAGAACACCATGAATTCACCATATTTTGTAGTTTCTCATCAGGTGCTTACAACCATATATGTATTGAAAGTTAACACTGAGATATGATATAATGTGAAACAATGTATATAGATGAACAAAGGAATTAGAATGATAAAGGTTATCTATAATAACCATATATATACATATATATTTGGAGTTGGAATCCAGAAAAACAATAAAGGGTGGGTACTGCATTTATGAAATGAGGCTCGAAGACAGATAAGATAGATTGTGTGGTAATTTTGGTTATGAAGGGTATAATAAGATTACTGAAATTAAAAATTATTAAGATTGGTTACGTAATAACTGAACAGAATTTGAATAGTTTACATAAGTTAAGAGAACGTAAAATTGAAGGGATGGCCTTGATGTACATAAAATAAGACCATATAATAAAATAAACAGTAGTTCAATAATGATAATAACATACATAGTTTACTCAGGTATTGATAAGTTTAGTACTATCTCTTTCTGAATACATAAATCAGGTTTGAGTTTTTTATTGCTATTGCTTCAGCAAACTGAAGAGAGGCCGTGTTTTTTGCTACTAATAATCTTGAAGGCTTTTGGAATGTCAATGTTCTGACCGTTTTCAAGTACATGCCAAGATATTTCCCTCTTTAAAGTCATTGCACCTCTTAGTCTCAAATTCTATGGATCACTGAGTAGTGACTAATGTAATAGATGTATGACCCTTTCATGTGGATAGGATTTTGTTGTTTAAGTTCAAATGTGGAACAGATCAGCGTCTCAAATAGAAAATGGTTTGCCTAAAGTATGCAGATACGCTTTGTTTACGAGTCTCAACAGACCTCCGACTGTCTACGTTTGAAGTCTAATGTATGCGTTTTTGAGTCATTTAGATTAATAAACATGTTATGACTATAGACCACGCGAACAGGGCGCTATTTATTATTTAGTGATGAGTTAGTGTAAATATCTCAGTACTATGGGAGTTCTGTTATTGCCTAATTAGATTAGTGACAGTATCTCGGACTATAAATCCGAATCCCATAAGAAGCATCATTCCTCTCAAGATTATCGATATGCTTTACTGATGGATGTTAACTTGAACTACAACTAGATTTAAAATCCCTTAATGATCCTCTCTAATCACCTAAAATCAAACATAAATCTATGAGAATTGTTGATATTTGTTTTTAATTCATTAAATTTTCATCATTAATAAAAAAAGCCGAATTATGGGAAGTATTTTTTTTCCAGCGTTTCTTTTTAATTAGGCAAAACATCCTCTATAAAATAGTGAAACATGAACTAATCAAGATTTTTCAGTCATCTTAGACTATTATTCAGTGAATATTGTCGAGGTAGAGTATAGAATTCAGGTTGCATAGTGATAGATAATTCAAGAGCAATACAAATTTTTCGACTAATTCCTTGGATAGTGATATTTCTAGTAGGACTTAATTAGGAAGTAATTACAATTTTCATAGTGGATTCTTACATGTTCAGTTGAATTTCATTTTTTTTCTCCCACTAATCATTTGTCTATTTTCGTAAAACAGAAAAACCATACCATAATACTTAATTTGCAAAAAGTTCAATAAATGTCTCGAACCTCATTGTTCTTGCATTTCCATACTAATTGCTTTCTATTCCCGCTCTTCCTTTCTTGATCTTTCCCATCTTCTGCTGCCAGACATTACATTCTGACTTGCATCATATACTACTTATATCAATATAAGTAGCACGCACCACAGTACAAATGCTACTTATTCAGTCAACTAAAACTGTTCATTCATAACAGTCTAAGTAACTATTTTATTGAATTATTCTTTTTTTATTTTCATTTGTTCTTGGTTCTCATGTTAACTGTTTATGAAAAATTACTTGTGTCTATTTTTTTCTTTCTCGCTGTAGGTTTAATACAATTAAGACATGTAAAAGAGTTTAAAGCTGCTAAAGAATTGGAAAATCAGTATCAACAACAAACTTCACGTAAACAAGAAAATCAAGAAACAAAAACAAAAATAAAGCACTCAAATATTAGTAAATATCCATGTACTCTTGGTATATTTCCAGCTAGAAGTAGTAGTGGTAGTAGTGGAGGTTTAATTGGAACTAATCAACAAAGTCCATTTCATCATTTAATTAGTGGTGGTGTTCTCGGCGCTACTGTATTAACATTAGCAGCTAAAGATAATCGTTCAACGAAAGAATTAATAGATATTCAGAAACATCAACAACCAACAGCTTCCCAGTTAGAAAAAAACACTATTTCACAAATGAAAGAACAACCGAACTTAGAAGAAAATAGTAGTGATAAACCATGGACTCAACAACGCATTAATCAAAATAATGAAGCTTTACTTGATGAATATCATCATGAATGTAATTGCTCTAATCTAGCCATTGATCCTTTAGCCGCGGAACAAGTTATTTATAATCATGATGCATCAGTAGACTCTATAACAAGGAATGCACATAATCTTTCAAGCGATACAAGTAATACAAGCAAGACAAGTCAACCAGTTTCAGAAATTCATTTGCATAAACACAATCACTATTATGATAAAATAAGGTATCAACTAGCCCGTTCTGCTACTGTCACATCATCATCGCCAATGAAGAAACATATTCAACTTGAAACTACTCACAATATTAATCAACGTCAAGCAGATTTGATTGGATTACAAGAAACTTTAAGTGTACCGGGTTTAGCAAGACAGTGGACAGATGACAGTGATTACACAGATGATTACAGCATTTATAAGAGACAAAATTCATTCGAAACAAATGATAGACAACAAAGCTATGATAGTAGTAATATGTCGTTGTATACACACTCTGCTAACACATATAATGAGACATTATTCAAGCAATATGACACTAACAATGTAGTCAATCAGGTAGAATAAATCAAGATAACAACTTAAGATTAAGTAATACAAATGTAAAGTTCGTATCAAAACAACCCAGTTTAGATAGAAACGAAGTAAAAAATGTACAGTTTAATAAAGAATTAAATGATGAAAAACGTGCAAATAGTGTTACAAACTACTTGAACACTTGCCCAGTATCCTACTTAAATTCAGGCTGTCACTCTCGTATTAGACGATTAAGAGAAAATTTTGAGAAAACTAGGAGTTCAACATATACATGGAAGCCAACAAGGAATATGGGAGGGTTATTAGAAAGTAGAACAGATGAAGAACAACCTTAGCCACTACACGAATTTCTGGTAGTGATTCTCGAGTCTTCCATACCCCAGAAGCATTAGCTACAATTGTAGATAAGAATTCTACAATTACAGTGGAAAATGTACCACAAATTTCAATTGAAGAAAACGAAGATACTGGTAAATCCGTGAAAATATCAGGGATTAAAGAACAAGAAAGATTTTCACCCCCTACATTAGATTTACAGGTTACTGATAAACATGATAATGCTGATGATATACATAAAACTCCATTAATATCACCTTTAATCATATAGAATCTGAAGTGGAGGAAACAGCAGACGACAGCGAACGATCCATAATGCAACGCCGGTAAGAATATATCCCTATTATCCATGTTTTTACTTATATTTTAAAAAATCTACAACAGTAAATCTGTTTTTTACATCCAATTCCGAATATCTTCTGAAAGACAACAAATTCGTTAAGAATGAATTTTTATTTGCCAAAATTAAAATCATCAGTATTGGGTTGTTCAGATCATGAATCAATTGACACCAAACCACCATTGAGAACCTGGAAGCACTGGACGGCCGTTTCGTCCTATTGTGGTACTTCTCAGCGGTACGCATCCACGGTCCTGGTCACGGGATTCGAACCCAGGTCGTTCAGTTTCGCGCGCGAAGGCCTAAACTCTTGACCACTGAGTTGGCTGGCATCCAACGGTGTTAATGCCTAACTTCAGCCAATCCGAGAAATTGCGCAACCATCTTCCATTGTACTGAGGTATATACCTGTCTCTACCTGATATGGATTAACTCTACTTGTTACGGCTTCTCACTAGAACTTCGAGAATTCCTTCACGAAGGTAGTCACTAAAGATCTTACTTACTTACTTACTTACGCCTGTTACTCCTCGAGTCACTAAAGAGTACATGATAATTACCTGTATTAGTCTGTGGAGATTATTAAGTTAAGCGTTCGCTCGCGAGATCAAAAGACCTGGGTTCGAATCATGCGTACCACTGAGAAGTACCGTAATAGGACGAAACGGCCGTCCAGTGCTTCCAGGTTCTCACTGGTGGTTTGATGTCAATTGGTTCATGATCTCAATCAAAAATTGAAATCAATTCTTTTTGTGTAGTACAATCAAAGTAAAAAAGATTATGAATAAGTTATTAAAATATAGCATAATAAATAAATAAAAATATGAAATATGTAAAAATTATATATCGAAGGCTTGCTGATACAATTATTTTATCAAGTTTAAAACAAGTTTAATCGACCTAGTAATGTGTTAAAATAGTATATACTAAAACAATTCATAGTAAGGACAAGATACTATGACTTTGATCACTATCTTTGAAATGATTCATGCAAATCTTAAAATAAGTTTTACGATAATTCAATTAAAATGTTAACATTAACTAAGTTTTAACGTTACTGGATGCATGACATTGTTTGTGAGATATCTTATAATATACTTCTGAAAGAGCAAAAACAAAGATTCTAGATTCTGCTAGAATCTTTGTTCTTACACATTTCAATATGATAAAGGAAACTATGTATATGAAATATGCTTCTGTCTGTACAATCATCATGAAGGTTTGACTATTGATTCTCAAATACAACCTTTTTTATGTTTTAATTATTGTTTCAACATGTTTACTTATGTGATTTGTTGAAAGTAATCGATAACACTTTTTTCTTATAGTTTCGTAACGAAATCAAATGATCTAACATTATCCATGAAGGAGATTTAATGATATCTAATACTTAGTTATGATACATAACTGCTATATACATTCACCTTCTGTAATAAAACTTTCTCTATTCACCCCACTTTCCTAAATGTTATATTCTTGATTAATTTTCCTTAAATTATAGTAAACAGTCAAATATTTTATGGACATCATAACAGAAAAATTTCAGGTATTTTTACTGTCTACTATTTCCCACTAATACTTTTACTTTACTTAACTTACATCTATTACTCGTAATGGAGCATAGGTTGGATATTTCTAAGTGATAGAATATTCAGTTTAGATAATATATTTAGACAATAGTTGGTAAATTATATTTACATTAAGTGACAAGAAAAACAAATATTTATAGTTTACGTTAAGATAATCATCAATATCCTCTACGGTGTATAAAAATTATATATATATATATATATATATATATATATATATATATATATATATATATATATATATATATATATATATATATATATATATATATATATATATATATATATATATTAGGCATCTTTATTCATTGTGTAAAGTTTGGTAGAACTCAGCGATTTGTTTAACTTACTGACGATATCTGTTCAATGATAACTGCTTAAACTAATATAGAATAGATATAATATGGCTGAGTTTTTTGATGGAGTTTTGTTCTCTGAGCTGCATTGTTTGGTCGCGGAGCTTTCATCGTTCAAAAGAACGATGAATCATCTACCTGAGTAACAAATCTCCACCATGGCTAAGAGTGAAATTCAGGAGCATGTTTCTTATTTTTTGAAGCTTGTTGGCTAAATTTGCGTGCATACTAGATTTGATGTTAAATTAGATTCCTGATTTCTTCAAGAAATAGTTCATTTATAGTTTTAAAAGTTTACTTAAGTTTTCGAAAGATATGAGCCATTCTGCGCGTCTGTTTGAATACACTCCAAAAGACGTGAGGTTGGCAAATAAGGATTCTTTTACATATTGACATGAAAGTGTGGAAAACAAAATTTGAAGGGTTTTAATTTATATATTTTATCGAAATGAATAATTATTTTAAAGTTGTCTATAGATGTCCCTTTTTTACATCACATATTCATTTCAGCCTGGTTACTACTGAAACTGGTTAACAGGTTAACCTATTAAACTGTCTAGAATCAAACTAAGTACCTTCAAGTTTATATTCCAACTACTAATCAGTCATTTATTACTTCACATTCTAAACTTAGTTCTCAATATCAAGAGACTATCATGCGCTGTCATCATTCACACCTATCTTACATGGTTTAACTGCATCAGTCTGTATAAAAAAATATGTATTTTTATTTAATAAGTGACAAACCTCTCTCTCTCTCTCTCTCTCTCTCTCTCTCTATATATATATATATATATATATATATATATATATATATATATGACTTTTGAAACTGAGAAAACCTCAAATTGAAGTATAGTTATAACTATTCTTTCTAATCGTAATTTTTATTCAATCTAAAATGTTCTTAACGCTTAACTTTTATTATTTCCTATCCATTCAATTTTAGTTTCCTGTGAATATAGATATAATTCATCAAAGTAGCCTGTTCTAGATACATTCTAAATAGATAGAGATTTAAATACTTCAATAAAATCGACTATATTAACTTTAATATTTTGAAAATGTTTATTTATTCTTCATATTTTTTATTTATTTGAGCCCTACACTATAAAGTAGATGAATTGAATTAAGTTAGATAAACAAATGTATCTAAATCCTTTCTATAAAGGTGTTCCTACAACTGACATACAATTTTGAGGTGGTGGAGAAAAATTGTAGCTCAGATGGATGATTTTGGTGGAGTTTTATTCTCTGAGTTGAATGGTTTGGTCGTGGAGCTTTCATCGTTCTTCTGAACGACATCATCAGCACAAAATTAAGACTTCTATCTCCACGACCAAATCATCCAGCTCAGAGAACAAAACTCCACCAATAATATCCAATTTTGTATATACGGGTTGGATTAGCCATTTAATTCTGATTAGTTTAATGGATATTTGATTTGATTTTAATTAAAATGATAAGTAATTAGGATCACATCTATCCTATTTTATATGATTAGTTTCTTCACAAAGAAATATGTATAAATGTCAATATCATTTTTAATAATTTTTATATTAACTCTTCTTCCCTCTCTTATTATCATAGATCCTATTCTGATTTTTTTTCCTCTTTTTTTTAGTCAATATTAACCAAAGTATTTTTAATATGATAGTTCTTCATCACTTTGGATTATTGAATAAGAAAAAGAGAATTCGGCGAAGAGAAGTTTCTTTTCGACGAACTCATTTACATTCGTATATATAGTTATATGGAAAATGTATGTCTATAGAAGGATAGAAAGGATCTCACTTTAAACTCTAATCATTTATTATTATTACCTTATACAAGTTTTCTTGATTATCATTCAATTTATTATCATGACCTTTGTTGTTTGTCGCTTTTCTCCATATCTGTCAATTGGACTATTATCAGACCCATAAATTCTGTTCTTCCTTACCCCTTGATTAGTACGTTAACCTCATTTGTTATTTATTGTCGAATCCATTTTTGTGACACAATTGTTTCTATTCTCCTATAGACATATATTTTCCATATAACTATATATATATACGAATGTACAGCTTAAGTAAATGATTTCGTCGAAAAGAAAATTTTCTTCGCTGAATTCTCTTTTTCTTATTCAATGACACTATGGGTTATTTTAACTTTGGATTATTTACATACTCAAGAACCTTCGAAATAGAATTTGTGTTTCTATTCTGTAAATGTTATTATTCAAGCAATTGTTTCATTATGTATCAAACTTCGTCCTTAAGCATGTACATATCATTAATTTTCTAATATTTGATAATTATTATTATTTTCAAAGCAAATAAATATTATGTATATTATTGCAAACCTTAAGTACAACTGTAGTGAACGAGAACACAAATGGGGACAATCGCATGTATTTCAACACAAAATTACAGAACATTTTAGTAAAATATAAGAATCATAGAGTAAATACATCGTTTGCAAAATGTCAACCAATCGTCCAAGATTTCATTACTCCTTCGTTTTCACACCAATCATTCTCTGTTCTCATTGTCTTTTCTTTGATCTCCTTAACGTTCTGCTGACTGGTATTTTACTTTCGATTGGTGACACATACTACTTGTATCTGTCGTCATCAGTAGCACACATCACACAACATATCTCTAGAATTTAAGTCAATTTTGCATACTTTACAAAGCAATCTGCTAGTGGATGATTATTAAGATAACTGACTAACTTACTTGTATATACTGCTTTAGTGTAACGGTCTATTTTATTTAGATTATACTTTGTAAGCAGTTGACAAACAAATCTAACAAACTAAAATGGATTCATACTATTCTTGCTTAAATTGTCACCGATTATTACAAATTTTGTATATATAGTTAACTACTCATGTGGAACTAAATGATATTTTATGGCGCTCTGACGTCATCTGATAGCATTAAACACAGAAATTATCCGGTTCATTTTATAACTAAGAAAATTTAGATTAGGAATATAATTCCATAGGAAATGTGATACAGTAACTGAACTATTTACAATCAATCAGGATTATTTAT